TTCTTCCCAAGGTCTGCAAAAGCAACCCAGACAGTGTCTCGCACCGGCCCTGGGGATGGGTGCTGCTTACCCCAAGAATGGGTGCCACCAGTCCCAGGAATGGGTGCCACCAGCCCCAGGACGCTCGTTGGTGGAGATATGCTGGTCTGCCCTGTCCTGGTGCTCAGGGACTGCCGGTGATCCACAGAGGAGCCCAGCAAAGTGGCTGGAGCGGTGGGCTGAAGATCTGCTCCAGTAAGTGTTGGGTCCTGCCCCACAGCAGGCAGTGACAACGCTCTGGTGGGTCTCCCACCGCCCTGCGCCAGCTGCTCTCCCGATAACTGCTGCCAGAGCAAGCGTCAGCCCCGCTGGCACGGGCAACGTGCGCAGTGTAGGGACAGGGACGTGGTGAGGCACTGGTGAACTCGGGCATCCCATGTCCCAGCTCCAGCTCCCAGCTCTTCTGCTCCGTCCGCTCGGCCACGTTGCCCACACCGCGCTGCCCACAGCACAACCCCCGGGCCGGGCAGAGGCAGGGCACGGCCCGACACCTTCCCGCAGATTCGGACCATGCCGTACCCATGCAGTTGTTTCCTCCGTTGACTTGCATGTACTCAGGGGGGCAGACGCAGGTGTAGTTGCCGAGGGGGTTGTAGCAGGTCCCGGGGCCGCAGATCCCAATGTGAGCAGAGCACTCATCAATATCTGCCAAACAAAGGCGACTGGAGGTCAACGCACTGGGCGCAGGTAGAGAAGGGCCTGACGCGGGGCTGGGGGTAAGCTCGGCACAAGGTATGGACGGGACTTTGCATAGTGGCAGTGTCGCAGCCCGTGAGGTTAATCCGGGACGCGATTATTGCTCGTTGAATTATTTTATTTTTTTTTGGCAATTCACAATCGCAGCCCAGAAGGCCAACCGTACCCTGGGCTGCATCAGAAGAAGCGTGGCCAGCAGGGCGAGGGAGGGGATTCTGCCCCTCTGCTCTACTCTGGGGAGACCCCACCTGGAGTACTGCCTCCAGCTCTGGAGCCCCCAACATAGGAAAGACATGGACCTGTTGAAGCAGGACCAGAGGAGGAGCACAAAGATGCTGGGAGGGCTGGAGCCCCTCTGCTGGGAGGACAGGCTGGGAGAGTTGGGGGGGTTCAGCCTGGAGAAGAGAAGGCTCCGGGGAGACCTTATTGCAGCCTTCCAGTCCCTAAAGGGGCTCCAGGAGAGCTGGGGAGGGACTTTTTACAAGGGCATGGAGTGATAGGACGAGGGGGAATGGCTTCAAACTGGAAGAGGGGAGATTTAGGTGGGATATGAGGAAGAAATTATTTCCTGTGAGACTGGTGAGCCCCCGGGGGAAAAAAAAGCTAAGCGGTGGCTGCCCCATCCCTGGAGGTTTTCAAGGCCAGGTTGGACGGGGCTTTGAGCAACCTGGGCTGGGGGGAGGTGTCCCTGCCCAGGGCAGGGGGGTGGAACACGATGATCTTCAACATCCCTTCCAACCCAAACCATTCTGTGATTCTATGACTGGCACAGGGACCAGGCGGGCCTGGCACTGGGAAAGAGGACAGGGTTTGTGATGAGGATGGGAAGGTTGGAAAAGGGAAGGGATTCTGCCAACTGCTCCTAGGGCAGCCCAGATACACGTACAACCCTGTTGCACACACACGCCTGCACACACACGTGTGCCATACACGCCAGGCACACAGACAAGCGCAGGCACCACGGTGTAGCTACCTTCGCAGATGCGTGTGTCCTCATTGAGGTAGTAGCCAAGGGGGCACTCACACTGGAAGCTGCCAAAAGTGTTCACGCAGTTGCCGCCCTGGCAGAGGCCCGGCAGCTCCTGGCACTCGTCGATATCTGAAGAGGGAGAGCAGTCGGGAGGTGTTCACTGCCCGCCAGACCAGCCCAGGCAGTGCCTTCACCTGGGGATCCCCAGTGGGTTCATCCCACCACCTCCAGCCCTTACTGGTGCCCAAGCGGCTCGGCCAGGTGGCCAGAGCACGTCTGAGGAGAGCATATGCTGTTTATCATTCGGTGGTCAGGGGCTCAGCGGGCATCCAGCCAACGCAGAACCATGGCAGACAGTGTCCACACCCAAGTTCCTGGCGAGGGGGAACGGGGGCCAAGGTTGGCTTACCTTCCAGGATGACAGTGATGGGGTTGGGACGGAAACCTTCTCCTCCAGGGCACAAGGTCTTGTACTCGGCTGTGGAAAAAGTCAGTCAGGGGGATCCTGAGCTGAGCGGGCTCCCATGAAACAGGAGGGGTAGGGAGAACCAGGAGAAACCCAGGAGAAACAGGCCATGGGGATGGTCACAGTGGTCCAGATGGAGCAGTCTGACTCCCATCACGTGCCAAGCAAACTTAGCCGCCCTGTCTCTGCCCGCCCACCCCTGATCAGGATCATTCCGCATCCCCTGCCCTCCCCCAGCCTACTGTGACCAGGAACAAAGGATCCCAACCTGGACCCCCCCACCCCACCCCAAGCCCAACCAGCCTAGCCTCCCCCACCTCTCCCCTGCCCTGGTCCACCTGTCCAGCCCTGCACTGACACAACAGGGTTGCCACCTTCTCCCTCAGCTTCCCTTGTTCCATCGTGATGATAGGATACGCTGGACCAAGAACCCTCAGCCCCAGTTGAGAAGCCACAGGGAAGCGGCCCCGTCTCTCTTCTCTGCTCCGTGCTGCCCATCTGGCCCATGCCCAAGTTGACCCCAGACATTTTCCCAACTCACTCGTGTTGGCTGGAGGACAAAGCTCGCAGGGGTTGCCCCATGCTCGACCCAGCGAGCAGCAGCAGGACGCCCGAGTGACCCCAACTCCAATTTCTGCGCTGCAGGAGATCCCCCCGTCTCCTCGATCCTGGGTGTCCAGGAAGCAGTTCCCAACACGGGTATCTGCACAAAGACAGCAGTGGATGAGCGAAGCCTCTCCAGTAAAGACTTGCATGCACAGGAGGGATGAATGGCACTATGGCCTCATGAAGCACAGAGACGGATAAGGCCACGGTCCTGTCGCAGATGTCCATGCTGTCAGCTACTTGTGTTGTAGTAAACCACATCCAGACTGTCCTTGCAGCTCATGACTTTGGGAACCCTTCAAGAACAAAGTGTGCCCAGCTTGTTTGGTGAAAGCCACACTTGATCATTCAGAGGTCATAGCATATTGGCCTGTCTTCAGGCTAGTGAGCATGACCCAAAATGGTATCAGTAACCCAGAGCCTTTCAAGAAACAAACACCTAAGAACAGCTGTAGAGGTGCCCAGGAACAACACTGCTTCAACCAGGAGAGCACCCACACTGGTGACACAAGGTGGGCCAGGTTCAACAGGAGGTAAGTACCCTTCTACTGCTGCAGGGTTAAAGCCCATCATGGATGGCCAGGTGTTTGGCAGAGCAGATAGCGATCAGCTGCCCCAGTCTCTGGAAGTGGCCAGTTCCAGCTATGTGGGACCAACAGGAAGGACCACCAAGCTCTTGGATGGAAGGTGTGCTCTCCACACAGGTCCCCACTCACCCACGCAGCCCACACCAGTGGGGTTCAGCTCGAAGTCCTGTGGACAGTTGCACAGGTAGCTGCCAGGGGTGTTGACACACAGGCCGTTGATACAGTTCACAGGGTCTGCACATTCATTGATGTCTGAAAAGATGAAAAGATGGAAAGATAAAGACTGAAGAGAAAGATGAAGATTGCTACAGAAACTGCGGCTGCAGCCTTAAGCTCTGCACTGTGTGTTCAGGGTGTATCCCCATGACCGTGGTGTTTCTAAGGCTCTTCGCGTGACGGTAGGCAAAGTTATTCTAGAAACAAACCTTGCCTTGTCCTACCTCACACCACCCTGCCCAGAGTCAGCAGAAAGGAGCAGAGCCACACCAAGCTTTCCCTCCTACCCACTGAAGTCCCACCTTCCAGCAGCATCAAGAGCAAAAAGACATCACCGCGTCACCCAGGGATGCTCAATTGGCTTTAGGCTGCTAATGCCACTCCCTGTCATGGTTGGGGCAAGCTCACACCAGAAGATCCTCATCCAACAGCCCTGTGAAAGTCCTATACCTGTGCAGTTGCCTCCACTCCTGTCCAGTTCATAGCCATCATCACAGGCGCAGCGGAACATCCCGGGCAGGTTCTGGCAGGTCCCAAAGACACAGATATTCTGGAAGGTGCATTCATCAATGTCTGCGAAACAAGGAGAGCTGGGTACTCAGGATCTGGCAGATTGAGGGCCAAGACTCCTGCTCCCATCACAAAGCAGAGCCGCAGCCCAGCTGTGGGTAACCCATCTGCTCAGGGTAGTTCCAGTGCCTTAGGACACCACCTCCTGGGTGAGCAGGACCAGGCATGCTGTGTGTATGCCCTCTGCCCTCAGCCCTGTTTTGCTGATTGTCCACATCTTGATGGACCCTTGGCTTAGCCCAACCTTTCTCCAGGCTGGAGAGCAGCTCCTGTAAGTGGAAGAGCTGGCACCTCAGGAGCCTTACACCACCGGGTGATGGTGGGTCTTGCTTAGGTGGGTCTCGCTTAGTAATGGATCAGGTGGTGACAGTGCAGCGGAGAGATCAAGGACAGAAAGGGGGTGGACACTGGATCTCCTGGAGCAGCAGCCAAAACTCTGGGCACTTACCCTGGCAGGCCTTGCTGTCCTCTGTGGGATTGAAGCCCATCTCGCACTCACAGCGGTAACCCCCAGGTGCATTGAGACACTGTCCATTCTCACAGAGGTTCACGTTGTCCGCACACTCGTCCACATCTAAAGAGAGTCAAGCACGAGACTGAAACGGTGTCCACCCGAAGATGGGAGTTTCCCTCAGCTTGCTCAGAGAATTCCCTCAAGAAGTTTGTTCCCACTCGGGGGTGAGGAGGGGGCTGCAATGCTTCTCATTGCCTTGATCCTCCTCAAACACCTGCTGAGAAGAAGGTGGATCTCTGCTGAAGGTATCTGAGCAGGCTGTGGTGCAGGGCAGTTTGGGGGACATCTGGGTTGGGGGAACCCCAGACACAGGCAGCCAGGTACTGAGCCAGGCTGGTGGTTAAGAGGGGTTGACTCCATGTCCTGGTAGGATGCCCAAACCACGTTCCTGCTGCTAATTGAGTCTACGGGCCTCACCTGAGCAGGAGAAGCCATCCCCGTTGAAGCCTTCTCGGCAGGCACAGCGGTAGGAGCCCGGTGTGTTGATGCAGTTGGCATTCAGGTTGCACTTGTGCTCTTCAGTTGCACACTCGTCCAGGTCTGGACAAGGAGAACATCCTTGTCAGCGTTTTGCCTCCGACCTTCCCTCTAAGCCTGGGCAGCCAGTGTAGGGCTCCAGGGGGGCACGCAAATGGCCCGGGAGACCACAGCCTCCAAGCACTTGGAGGCCCCAACACATCTCTGTGAGCCTCTGTGGCCACGAGACACTCCCCTGGCAGTGCTGGCACAGACGATACGGCAGCGAGACACTTTCACACAGGCGTACCCCCATGGCTAGCATCTCCCCAGTTCAGACACATGTATCCATACAGATACATCCCTTCATACGCACCACACACACGCCACTAAGTCCCTACGCTCATTTGCGCACACCAACACACCCTACACACTTCCCACACCCGTGTATCCCTGCAGACGTACCGCACCATGCCCCACCACATCGTCACATCGCCGATCTGACAACGACCTTCATCCACGCTCATCTCAATACCATGCCCACACGCTCCACATCCCACCAACCCATGCCCTCGCTCCCACATTCACGGCTTCACAGACGTGGCTGCAGATCCTGACAGCGCAACGTATGTACGCCCACACCTAAAGTCCACACGCCCACACCTCTCCACACTTCCATAAATCCTCATGAAGAGTTTCTGGGGTTCAAGAGCATTTTAAGTGCAGGTGTCAGCTCAGCTCAGCTCAGCCTTCACAGGTGCCCACAGAGCACCCGGACACACAAACATCCTCTCCTGGGATGAGGACTCACCGTTGCACTTCAGCCCATCTCCAAGCCAGCCTGTGCGACACTTGCATTTGAAGCTGCCGGGCACGTTGATGCAGGAGGCGTGCATGTCGCAGTTGTGAGCCCCGATCTCGCATTCATCAATGTCTGCAGGAAGAAAGGACATCAGAGGTGATGCAGCTCAGCTCCTCCAGCAGCCAATCCTGCTAACGGGTCTGGGTGCCAATGGCTCCTGGGAGCCTGAACCCCAGGGGGTGGGAACAAAGTGCTTTGGGAAGGGGCTGCCTGGGGTCGTGCCCTTGAGCTGAGGAGCTGACGTGCGCTCAGCCCCGGAAGATGAAGACAAAAGGAAGGGCAGGCCCATCCTTGGCTATAAACCAGGGAAGCGTTGAGCCCTGCCTGCAGCCTGCCTTCCTGGCAACCTGCCTGCCCCGGAGGGGCTCCCAGCGCACAACCACATCCCCGCTGTCCACACTATCCCCCCGGACAGTGTGTTCCCTCCATGGCGGCTGTGGGTGTTTGTCAGGGCTCCCGCCAGCACCCCTAACTCCAGGTCTGGTGCGTCCCCACCTGTGCAGCCCGTGGTTCCCTTCTTGACGAAGTAGCCCAGCTGGCAGTGACAGATGAAGGAGCCCTTCGTGTTTTCACACTCGCCGTGCAGGCAGATGTTAGGGTTGAGATCGCATTCATTCACATCTGCAGGAGAAAAAGGACTCACTTGGAACACCACAGGAACCCTGACGTGACTCTGGGGCAGCCCTCTGTATCCCTTCCTCCCTCCAAGAGCAGCCTTGGGATGCAGCGCCGGCACGAGCCCAGGGCACAGTCTTGTCCTCACCAATACAGGTCTTCATGTCCAGGGACGCCATGAAGCCATCGAAGCAGAGGCAGCGGTACTCCCCAGGGATGTTGGTGCACTGCCCACCGTCACAGATGTCTGGGTTATCCTCACATTCATCAATATCTAGAGAGAGGAGAATATTGCCAAAGTAAAGACGTTAGAGCCAGTGAAAGGGTATTGTGGGAGCAGGAGGGAATTACAGGAGGGGCTTTGCTCCAAATCGTAGAGTTACAGGAATCTGGAGCCTGTAATGAGCGGCTGGACATTGCAGTGCAAAGCAAAAACATCTGTCCAGGGACATCACCTCTCTGGAAGTGACTTTAAAATGAGACCCCCTCACCCTGAAGCCAACGCTACGGCAGACCGGCAATGGATGCAGAGGTCCCCGGGGCAGCACCTCCGAGAGCCGAGCTGACTGCTCACCTGCACACGATCTCTTGTCTGGCATCAACGCGTAGCCTTCGCTGCAGCTGCATTCGTAGCTGCCCTCCGAGTTGGAGCAGTGTGTGTCACAGCCGCCGTTGGTTATGGTGCACTCATCAATGTCTGGGGGAGAAGGGAGAGGTCAGAGAGCTGCTGGGGTGGTGGGCTGGGATACCTGCCTTACAGCAGAGCTGCTCAGACACAGTTTGGGTACACAGAGTGGGAGAGGTGCTGAAGAGAGAACAAAGCTCCTCCCAGCCAGAAGAAAGCACATTTTGCCTTCTCTGTTCCCCACTTGCAGCTCAGAGCTGATGACAGCCCCTGACCAGTAGTGCCAATCTGGGTGTAGCGCAGCCGGGAGGTTCCCCCCTTGCCTCACCCTCAGGCATCCCACCCAGTGTTATAAGAGGAAGGTTCTGGATGGTTCTGGATGTGTACCGTGGCCTTGGCACGGCTACGTGGCAGAGGCGAGCACTCACCGACACAGCCCTGCCTGTCCAGCGTGGCCTGGAAGCCCGAATCACACGCGCACTGGTAGGTACCAATGACGTTGACGCAGCGTCCGTTGCGACACAGGTTGTCACTAAGGGAGCATTCGTTGATATCTGCGGTGGGAAGAACAGTTTGAGCAGCCAGCCATGCTGATGCCACCTTAAGAATCATTCGGTACCCATCGCTGGTACCCCCACCTACTGCCGTCTCCACACTCAATTTGTCATTGCCCCATTGGCCAGTCCCAGTGGACAGCAGGTAGAACAACAGGCACCATAAATGCAATGAAGCGCTGGGAGTGACCTCAGTCCCTCCTGGATGAATGTCTTCTACCCACACATAGGAATGGAAGGTGAGATTCACGTGCCCAGCATGAGCTCCAAGAGCATTACCCTTGAACGGGCTCTGGTCATAATACAGCTTTCCATCATCTCACCTATGCAAGTGTTCCCTTCAGAAGTCAGCTCATGTCCAGGGGGGCAGATGCATTCAAAGCTGCCATCTGTGTTCATGCAGATCCCACCTCGGCACAGCAGCGGGTCCCGCTCACACTCGTTGATATCTGCAGAGAAGCATATGAAATACGGTGGATTCTCCCCCTCAGTTGGGTTTTCCAGGTAATGGGGTGGTGCTGGTGCCGTGCCCCACAGTCCCATCGCCAGAGATATATCCCAAAACAGAGGGGCATCACAAAATTAAGAGGGCAGCAAATTCAGGGCTTGAGTGAGTCCAATGGACTTATGGTTGAAGTATGTGTTTTGGGAAATCGCAGCTCTTGCCTTCATCTCAGTAAAACATAAAGTGTAACATCAGGAGGAAAGAAGTTCTTAGCTTTGCGCAGGTAAGCCAGCAAGGATTAGAAGGATAGTTCCTCGCTCACGCGTCCCACCTATCTTAGTACATTTTCACAAGTCCCATCAGCAGAGGGAGAGTTCCTCGGAAACCGTGTATTTTGCTTGATAGAAGAGCGACAGACAAGCTTTCTCCGTAGCAGCCTTCAGGCTAGTTCCAGCATCACACACAGGGCTGGGAAATAACATTTCTGAGAAAATCACATATGGACAAAGGGATTGAATATACTAGGAACTGGAGACATTCCTGAAATAGGTGATACTGCTGTGAGAGAGGTGTGAACCAGCCAAACAAAGATGAAACCAGGCTGCTGGCATTAAAAATGAACAAAAGCGATAGAAAAAATTTATAAATGCAAGACTAAAAAAATACACACGCTCCCAAGGGAACCACTGGAATGGTGCACTGGTGATGGTTGGAAACTAAAACCAACGGCAGGCGGAGGTGAAGCACTGCAAGTATTGGAATTGAGAAACTTCGTTATCACATCATTATCTATGGCTCCTGGAGAAAGCTCTTTGTGCTCTACTATGATATTACACAGGTAACAGTCTTTGTGATACTCGTGGTGTTTCACATCCCCTGGTCATGCTCTTCGAAAGGGCAAGTGCTGGATGAATCCGATCCTCTAACTTTGGAAACAGGAATCTGAGAAGGAGGTTCTCTATTTCGGTCCCAGAATAGATTCAAAAGATTTTGCATTCTTGCATGCCTCTAGAATTGACTCAAGATGTCCCACACCGACAGCGAGAGAGCAGAAAAGGGGGAGCCTGCCTGGAACTGCGCGGAGAATTCATCTGTCCGCGGTTGTCCTCTGAGAAAGGTGCGTTCAGAATACAAAGCCACAGGGTGTAACACAAATGAACTCAGAGAGCTTAAAAAACGGCCCCAAGAGCCCCTTAGTGACCGCAGACAAAGGGAGTGATGTCAGACATAAAGAATCCATTTTCTTATCACGTGTTTATTTTTTCCGATTCCAACCTTGTAATTAAGAATGGAATCTTTCGCCTTACTTGGATAAAACCCTCTGTTGAGATTTTCAGCTTATCTACAGCCAAAGTGGACTGGACTACACCTGACAATGGGGGTGACGGGCCCCTATCAATCAGTCCCGCAGGACCCGTGCCACCGCTTCTCCACGGTGGGAGACCGTTCCTAACGAAGTGCAGGATGCAGGTTCAGTGCTGGTGTTGCTTATTGCCAGGGGGCTGGCAAGAATTCCTCCCTCGCGAGGCTGAAGCCAAGTTCTTTTGCCAAAGGCAGGTGGGAAGAAGTTAATCCTTGACCACGGGAAACGCCAGAGTGTCACAACACCCTTTGGGGTGAAATGACTCAATGCCCTCTCACCTCGAAAAAAGGATAAAGGTGGAATCGTGCAGATAAGAGCGAGCATTAAAACAAAAGACCAATGAAACACAACATCCTTATATAAAGATATCAGAAACCTCGTTACTGAAAGAAGTTAGCAGGCCATCGGTGAGGACTGTGACATTCTCAGTACCTCAGAAATGGAGGAGGAGAAGGGGGAAGATGAGCAGTGTGAGCTGCGGTAACCCGCACTACAATTTGCATGGAAAAGCCTGAAAACCATGCCAGGGCAAGGGGGTGATATGTTTGAAAGAAGCCAGAGAATCAAATATGAAAACCAAACAAACGGTGTTGAATCATGCCACAGACTGCTGTGGTTTGAAAGTCCAAGCCAAAGCAGAAAGAGCAGAATATTAAGACTAGGTCAGTCAGACAAGCGAGTCTGGCTAGACAGACGAGAAGAGGAACATGGTATGCCAGGAATTAGAGGACAGCAACAGTCTGGCTGACTCGCTGGAGACGAACTGAGGTACTGAGGTCATTGATGGGATTTTTTTTTAAGCTACAAACAAGAATTATTGAATTGAAAACAGATGAGAATCTGACAGAACAAAACCAAGCCTCGGCCAGATGGGAGGAGCTGCAAAGAATTATCTGAGGATAAAGGAAGATTAAATGGGCAGGTGAAAGAGAGCCATTACAATTCTAACTGGAAATTGGGTGGGGTAGAAGAATGCAGGTGGCCTACCAGAACTTCTCATGAAGGACTTGATCTGTGCAAGTGTTTGAGGAACTGGACAGGGGCCTGATTAATGGTTGAAGCCAGTACAAAATTGCTGTGCATTCCCATCCCAAGGAAAGGTGTTGCAGAAACAGCAACAGTTGATTAGATATCACATACAAGTGTCACAAGGTTGAGGGTCATTTTAGAAAAGATTCTGTGGAAAGCAGCCCAAGAAAAACTGGATGAATCAGCAAGATTCAGAGCTAGAAGAGACACAAGCTATCAAACGGTCAACCTCTTGCTGAGCAAGGTATGACATAGCTCCATGTTCTCCTGCCAGTGGAGGCATCTGATTTAATGACCCATGGCTATAGGACGTGCAATGACAGCAGGAGGCCAAGCAGTGCTATAAAGACCAAAGCTTAATATGTGTCCTAATATAGGAGTGGAAATAATAGACCTACTAATCTCAGCAGTGATCTAATGATGATATGCCTGACAGCTACTTGCAAGGAACATATATTATCTAGAAAAGGGTCCAAGCTACGTGTAACTGGATTAAAATGACTGGTGTGGTGTGTGAGACAGCATTTAGGGTAGGTAGATGGACCAAGTTAAGAAGATAGCTATGGTGGCATGGATAGGGGACCACACAAAAAGATCTACAAGTTGAGAAACATTCTGCAATGGTGTTTGAATATACATGGTTTAATGTAAGGGTTGAACATATGATATTAAAAATGTCTGGAGATGGGCGTACCTTTGGAGTGTGGATATGTAAATAATCAGTGGCAGAATAAACAATAGATGGGCAACACAAGGCTGAAAAAGAAGTAGATGGAGATGAGACATCACACAAAGGAAAGAGCCAAGTGTGTATGAGAACCGGAGCTCACAGCCGTTGAGCTGAAGCTGCTGGCCTGGCAGAGCTCTGCTGTGTACTAGCCAACCCCCAGTATAAAGGTTGCCGCCTCCTTATATAGCAGGCATGAAAATACCAGGCACGGATCCTGTCCCAGCTCAGTGGCAATGCCAGGCTCAAGCTCCAGCTGCTGGTGGAAACAAGAGGAAAGGTTAGTGGCCAAGGTTTGGTGCAAGGGAAGGTCCAAGTCAAGGAAGAGTACAAAAAGAAGAAGAATGAACATTGTACAAGTACAAGATGAAAAAGGAAATGCAAGGCCTTAGTGTTATGTAAAAAAAGTAAGGCAACATCGCCCTGGGGTTGCAGGGAAATGCCCTTTGGGTACAGCAAGTGGGAATGGGATGGGAAAGAACTTGAGCCGGTTGGTGGCCCCATGGGGTCCCAGCGTGGGCTCCCCTGTGGGCTCCCACACCTGAGGTAAGGGTAGCCAGGAGGTGGCAGGGCAGAACCAACGACGTCCCAGGAATGTCAGGGTAGGAAGAGCCCAGGACGCTCCCCTGGGCCAGGCGCTATACCCAGAGCCCTCCCTGCTGCCGCCCTGGGATGCCCATCTCCCTCTCCAGCTCATGGGGCACCAACCAGCCCAGGTGCTGGGCACAGGCTCTGGCCTCTGGTCCACGAGGTCCTCATGAATGAGGTGTCTGAGAGAAGGCTCTCAGTTTTGACCCCAAGTCTGGCAACCTTTTCACGGTCTGTCTTTGCTCTGCACGGTACAGAGCCCTGGGGCACCGCTAGTAGGGACGGCACGGGGCCCATCGCTGAAGGGCTATTGGCCCACACAAGGCACAGCACCCACGCAGGAGGCAGAGGCTACAGCTCCATCTCTTTGCCCTCCTTCTCTGGAGGGGTCTGGGGCTCAAGCGAAGCCTTGCTGGGAACGTGGCCTCACCCTTTATGTCCTCCAGCTTAGAGAGGACGCTGTGCTGCGTCTCATGAACCCCTGACTTCATTTTGCATCTGCTTTGCTGTCCTCCCAGGGTCACATCCGTGGTGCTCTCAGCTACGCACACGGCTCTTCCTCTCTCTACACGTGCTGCCCCTCAGCCCAGCTCTGCCTTTGCAATCAAAGCACAGCAGAAAATTCACTGCCGTGGGGCGAGCAGAGGCTGCCAGGGCTCTCTGCAGCACAGGGACTCCCGCATCTCCCCCAGAGGGCAATGAAGAGATTTGGGTTGGTACCAGGGAGCAGAGAGGCAGACAGACAGGTAGCCGGACAGCCAGACGCACAGAGAACAGCTCGGCGTGAAGCCCTTTCTCAGGTCTGACACCAGCTACTTTCTTCCCTGTTGCGAAAGACTAAGGGTGCTGCCCTACCCCGGAGACACGTCCTTACCCATGCAGTTCTTCATCATCATGAAGCCACTCTCGTAGCCTTCGAAGCACTCACACTCGAAGCTGCCCGGCGTGTTGACACAGGTGCCGTGGCCACACAGGTCTGGCGAGATGCGGCACTCGTCGATGTCTGCGGGGATGAAGACCAGCTAGTGGAGGCAGGACAGGCTACAAGCACCACTACAGCTGGCACTGGGCTGCCGGCACTGCACATCACATTCAGTGAACAAGTCTGACCCAGGAGACCAAGGAACTCCTCTTGTGAAGGGAGAGACAGCAGTTAAGCTTTCTCTCTGGTGTAGGACTGCTCCTTCACCACACGAGCAGGAGGAGCCTTCTGCTCATGGTCCTGCCCTTGGCGTCTCAACACGTCCCCAAGATAACTTCCACGACTCCTCTGGGTACCACCACCACGCTAAGCGTCCCACAAGGCAGGCAGGGCAGCAAGATGGGCAAGAGTGGTGCGGAGGGGGGCTGCTCCTCCCTTACCTGTGCAGTTCCTTTCCTCAGCGTCCAAAGCGAAGCCGTTGCCACAGATACACCTGAAGCTGCCAATGGTGTTTCGACAGGTCCCATGAGTGCACAGGCCAGAGAAGACCTTACATTCGTTCACATCTGTGGGTGAAGGCAGAACAGGAGTGTTTCAGGGAGGGGATGGCTGCAATGAACCCAGGCTCCCAGGGCAGACAGCAGGTTCCTTGGGCTGCAGCTGAGATAGGCTGAGCACAGCCCACGATCAGCAGCTCCCCTCTTTCTTCTCACCTTTGTAGAAGGGCCTTCCTGAAAGCACGTCTCCTCGGTTGGCAAAGCCAGGTCCCCTCGGGCAGATGGCCTTGTACTCGCTGGAGCCGACCTTGGGACATTCTTCGCAATCGATGCCCCAGGCTGAGCCCACAGAACAGCAGCACATGTCGATCCGGTACTTGCCTGGCAGAGGCTCCGTGCACTCATCTTCATCCCATTTCATGTAGCACTGTTCCACACGCACGTCTGGTGAGAGAGCAGAGCTGAGCCCTTGCCTGCAGCACCTAATCTCTCGTAAAGCTAAAGCGATCGTTTTCTGTGACATAGTTTGCTAAGTTCCTGCAACAGCTTTGGCTGCGGCATCCTCCAAACGGGCCATTTGGATGTGGCCACCTTGTTTGGGATGCCACGAGAGATTTAACAGTATGGACACGGTCAGCCTGTGACTGTTGGCAACAGGGCTAGAGAATGGACCCTCCGTGGTGTAGTCAGTAGTGCAGATGGCCCCTGTGAAGGGGAGAGGTTTGTCACTGTGTGCCCAGAAAGCAGCCAGGAGTTGTTTTAGGGCTGCTGGGCCGTTAACCAGTTAGGTTATCTACTGAAAGTCCAATCCCTGTAAACACAGAGTCAATCATGATCAGAAGCAGCGGACCCTTGAAAATGGAGCACGCGGAACTGGCTACCCCTGAAGTCCACCCAAGGAGAACAGTTGCATTACTGGCCGGAGCCGGGGACGTGAAGCTGTGGCAGCCTTGCCTTGATTCGGCTGTTGGGTTTGGCGGCCCCTACCACCGCCATCACTCAATTCCCAAGACTGCTGCACGCGGTTGTGGGTAGGGGGTGGTCAGTGCTGTAGAGAGGGCTGAACAGAGGCCAGGGGCTGGGCGAGACGAGGTGTCCTTACCCACACATGTCCTAGCAGTGCCGTCAAGAGTCAGACCTTCCGGGCACTCGCACCGAAAGGAGCCAGCCGTGTTCACACAGCGTCCGTTTGGGCAGACGCCAGGGAAGACCTCACACTCATTCACATCTGTTGGCACAAAAGCAAGAGACAGGCAGGAGAGCGGTAAATGGCCAAGCCCAGTATGGCCTTGAGGGGCTCCTGGAGGAGGCGGAAGGAGCCCCAGAGCTGCCCACCAGAGTAAAACTGGAAACTTGTCGCAATGAAAAACACATGCTCCACGCGCAAGCCACAGCCGTGCCCAGACGCTTCTGCAAGGAGCGTTACAAAGCCTCAGCAGAGAGGGACAGACAGGGTGGTCCTGTTGCACACGTCCGTAGTCAGCACAGCACTGGCAGAGCAGCACCAGGACTCATAAACATGAGTACTGCTGATGGAGCAGCTAAACCTGGAAACCCATTTCCAGGAACATGAATGACAAGAAAATCATCAGTAGTAGTCAGCACGGATTGCCCAAAGGGAAGTCATGCTTGATGAGCATGGGGCAACGAAACTGGTGAGGGGTCTGGAGCACATCTCTTATGAGGAGCAGCTGAGGGACCTGGGGGTGTTCAGCCTGGAGAAAAGGAGATTCAGGGCAGACCTTCTCCCTCTCTACAACTATCTGAAAGGAGGTTGCAGAGAGGTGGGACTCGACCTGTTCTGTCAAGTAACAGGGGATAGAACAAGAGGAAATGGCTTCAAGTTGCGCCAGGGGAAGTTTAGATTGGATATTAGGAAGAATTTCTTTACTGGAAGGGTCATCAGGCACTGGAACACGTTACCCAGGGCAGTGGTGGAGTCCCCATTCCTGGAGGGATTTAAGGGTCGTGTAGATATAGTGCTCAGGGACATGGTTTAGTGGTGGGCTTGGCAGTGTGAGGTTCATGATTGGACTAGCTGATCTTACAGGTCTTTTCCAATCTGGGAGATTCTGTGATTCTGTGATAAAATTCTATGATGCAATGACTGGCCTGGTAGATGAGGGAGGAATGGCAAATATTGTCTCCTTAGCCTTCAGTAAGGCCTTTGCACTGTCTCCCGTAAGATCCTCATAGACAAGCCGTTGGTGTACAGGCTGGACAAGCAGACAGTGAGGTAGATTGAAAACTGGCTGAATGGCCAGGCCCAGGGAGTGGTGTCCAGTGGCACAGTCTAGCTGGATGCCAGCAGTGTGCCCCAGCGGCTAATACTGGGTCTGATCCTATTTAACATCTTCATTAGTTATCTGGATGATGGGATAAAGTGTATCATCAGAAAATTTACCGATGATACAAAACTGGGAGGAGAGGCTGATATACCAGAAGGTCTTGCTGCCATCCAGAGGGACCTTGGCAGGCTGGAGAAAGGGGCTGCCAGGGACCTCATGCAGTTCAACAAGGAGAATTGGAAAGCGCTGCACCGGGGGAGGATGAACTCCATCCACTAATGTATGTTGGGGGTCACCCAGCTGGAAAGCAGCTTGGCAGAAAAGGACCTCAGGGTCCTGGTGGACACTGAGTTAAATATGAGGCAGCAATGTGCCCTTGCTGCGAAGCTAATGATATCCTGGGCTGCGCTAAGAGTGTTAGCAGAAGGTCAAGGGAGGTGATCCTTCCCCTCTACGCAGCACTGGTGAGGCCACACCTGGAGTGCTGCGTCCAGTTCTGGGCTCCTCAGTGTGAGAGATGGATGAGAGAGTTCAACAAAGAGCCAGACTCAAAGATGCAGGATAGCAACAAATAAGCAATAACCATGTTCCAGATTTAAAAAAAAGTCTTCTGCGTCTTGCAGCGCTTTACCTTCACATGTGACTCCCTTCATCCTCGCATATCCCCGGGGACAGGCGGTATCTGCAAGAAAACAGAGGAATGTCAGTAAAGAAATGGGCTGCATCCCTCTTGCCTGACCTCTGTGCCAAGCAGAGCCTTACCGATCTCACAGCGCTCACAGGGACTGCCCCACGCTGCCCCCAGCGTAGCACAGCACTCCGACTTCAGCGTGGCCCCGTTGATGTTCACCTCGCAACGCCCATCCTGGATGTTCAGCCAGCACGTCCCTTTCATGCTGTCTGTGGGGGCAAAGACGAGGCGTGAGTGAAGCGCTGCTCCATGGTGGAGGTTCCCGGTTTCGTGGCAGCCAGGACACCACGAGAAGCAGCTAGGAGAAACAATCCCTGAGCTGCAATGCGACTATTGCTCTCTGATGGCTTTTAGGCTGTGGGGCCAAGCGCTTTGCAGGACGGACACAAACTGTGCTGGTCCCCAGAGCCCTGTCCCACTCCTGTGCTGCGGAGCAGCATTTCTGCGCTCTCTGATACAACTGCTATCGCGTCAGTTCTGTGTCCTGCCCCTTCCCTGGTCCCAGCCTGCTCCTCTTCTGGATAAAAATAGTCCTTTCTCTCCAGCTGCCCCTGTGATGCTCTGCAAGGCTCTGACCATCTAGGAGTGGGAAGCGGGTACCTTCTTATCACCTTGATGAGAAGGAATCTACTTCCTTTTGATGTGCCTGAATGTCAGCACGCTACAACCCCATCTGGCGAGCAAGAACCCTCCATCCTGACGCCCTGCAGGATCTCCTGGGACCCCGTGTCTGAGCTTTATCCTGCTGCAGCACAGTCGGGGATTTCTCTGCCTGACACACACTGCTCAGAGCGCTGCCTGAGGTTGCAGCTTTTCAGGCTCCCTACGTGCGTAAGAGAGATGCTAATTGTTACCAACAACCAAGAAAACACTAGGTGAGAGAGAGAGGCCTCAAAGGATCCCCATCCCGAAGGCAGGAGCATGGGACTTGCTTCAGATGAACAACAAGGGGCGATGATGCTGATATCAGAGCTGCCTGTGGAAGGCCACATCCTTACCCACGCAGATGGTGCCACTGGGGTCCAGCTTGCTCCCTGGGGAGCACTCGCAAGCAAAGGAGCCAGCGTTGTTCCTGCAGACACCGTTCACGCAAGGGTTAGAGGTGCACTCATTGATATCTGCGGGAAGAAAAGGACTGTCACTGTAGCGAGTGCCACGGGACGCAGCTTTCTGGGCTAGAGACTGGGGGACCGAGAAGCAAAGAACACAAAGAAAGGAGTTTTGCAGCTGTTCAGAGGATCACCAGTCCAGCCCACAGGAGTCCTGCACATACAACTCAAGTAGGCACTGTCTCAAGGGGGTGGGCACCCACAGAAGACACCATGAAACTACTGAGCTGCTTCAGGGCTGAGGGAATGGATGGGTTGAGGCTGGTGCCGCTACGGGGGAACGATGGACTCGCTCGCTCGGGGCTGCTCCTGGCTAAGATGGGAGCAGCCACAGTGCTGAATATGGCTTTCGTGTACCAGAACATCGGAACCAGACGCGAGGCTCCGCAGCATTTGCCATTTTCCACCTTCTTTAAGAAAAGCAAGTTTTTTTCTCTAAACAGATATTTATGTGCAAAGTGCCAGTTCTCAAATGTTTGAGGACTTTGCGGTCAGGAAACAATTTCACCCACTCCAAACTGTAAGCTTTCAATCAAATCCCCCAAACTTGCAATTTTGGTCAGGTTTTAGTTAAAATTTTGGGGGCCTAGAGGAAATCGTTCTGGTTTTCAGTCATTGAAAAGCCCAGATGTTCTGGGTTTGGACGTCCACTATTTTGAATGAAGTGTGAAATTTCCCCCCAGGCAAAAAAAACCCAAAAAAACCAACAAAAACAACACAAACCCACAAAGCCAAAGCCTGGACCTGCTCCAGTTCAAACCACTGTGGTGAAAAGGGAACCAAAGACACGTTAGACCTTGAGCTCCCTTTCAGGCAGGACCTCAGGCCACAGCTCCTTACACCGTGTGAAGATGTTCTCCGTTGCCGTCAGAATCACATTACCTTCACAGGTGTCTGTCTCTGTCCTGAAGACAAAGCCCTTGGGGCAGGTGCAGGTGTAGCTGCCGGGTGTGTTGCGGCACAGTCCGTTGTCACACAGCAAACGATTGACAGTGCATTCATCAACGTCTGTGGGCAGAGAGATGGGTTTTCTGAGCTACAACACCAGCGTCCGCTCTTCTACTCTGCCAGCCCTACAGAGCTCTGGCAGCACCGTCCTCAGAGCTATACAACGTCAAATATATGTTAAATCATGAATGCGGAGTCTCTTGCACAGTACCTTGTGCTCTTCCATGTGACAAGGCAGCCCTGAACGGGGACAGTGCCTGAGGGCATCAACTGCTCTGTCACCTCATGGTGCCTCTGGCTCCCACCCTCCTCCGCTGAGTGCATGCCACCCTCTCCCCACCAGCGCTGACCTCCCGGTTCCCTACGCCACACTGGGCTGCCCTGAACTCACCCACGCAGTTCTTGCCCGTGGGATCTGACTCGTAGCCCAGGTTGCAGATGCAGCGGTAGCTCCCACGCAGGTTCTCGCACATGCCGTTGGGGCAGATGTCCGGGTTGAGGGCACATTCGTTGATGTCTGCACAGAGAAAGAAGTCAAATTAGATGGACCGCGGCAAACGCAAATACAGAAAACTTCCACCCCCTAATTCTTCATTGCTCCTCGGTGTTAATAACCCCCTGGGACACCCCTCTGCAGAAATCCCTCCTTCCTGTCCTGCCAGTTTGACCCAGTAGGCCCTGGGAACCCTTGTTCCTCTCCTCCTGGTGCTGTGGAGCCAGGCATCTTTGACCTGGGGATACGCAGCTGATCTAGCGTCGGGCTCTGAGCTCGGGAGGAGAGAACTGGATAAGGGGTTGAGAGAAGCCAACTCAGTTCCATATCAACGGCTCTCAGGTCCTTCTGTTACGTTCCCGAGTCTCCTTATGGTATCTCTATCCCGGGTACTCAGGTCAGACCATTTCATTATCCCTCCCTACTGGAAAAGGTGGGAAGAAGCAGCTGTTTGTAAGGTGCTGTGAGCAGGATGCTGAGGCCAACCGGGGTGAGGGCAGAGCAGGATGGACAACCTGCCTGTGCCCACACAGCCCTACCACCAGGGACCATCGCCGGGGGCAGAACAGGGCAAGGAGTACTCAGACACATTGGAGAGCACGTTGTGGGCAGCTGGGCTGGCAGAGGGTCACATCCATGGCTAGATGGTCACAGCAAAGCCCTTCTGATGGCCAAGTCCCTGTATCTCCTAGCCCAGGCACTCCCCAAGCTGAGAGCTTGGATGGGCTCCCTGACCACACTGCTGCCAGGCTGGAAGAAGCCCCCATCAGGCCAAAATAAATTTCCTTTCCCTATTGATGACATAAAGAACTGTCTGAAAGCAGGTTGGGCAGCCTGGGAAGAGCAAAGTGAGGACCTTTGGCCTCTGCCCGGTTCCTGGCCCTGGAGAAGATGTGGTGGTGGCAGAGCAGGGGCAGAGAGGAGTGTTATGTTTGGGTGAGGGCAAGGCCCGGGACAGGGGTCAACTTCTGCAGGATGTCAAAACCTCCATTTCAAAGATTTGCAAAGTGCCTTGCGCAAACTTGCCCCGAGCTGAGAGATTTTGGGAGGGTTCTGCAGCAACACGCAGCGGGTACCCACCGCCCCTGCTGCCCACGCACACGGTGGTTGGGCTCAGGTCCGCAGGGAGAGCATCTCCTGGGCACCTCTGCCATCCCCCACCTCCTGCCCACCCCTGATGTCAACAGCACCAAGCGCCCAGTGCGTGTGGACGGTGACCCAGAAGGGCGGCAGCCACGTGGGCAGCATCTCTTCCTCTGCGCCAGCATCGTCTCACCGCCTTTTCGGAGCGGAGCTCTGGTGCCCAGGCAAAGAGCTTTTACCAGGGCGAGGAGCAGCCTCCACCGCAGAACAGAGCAGGTTTGTGTTTGTACAGCAGCGTCCTCGCGGTGCCGTGGTGCCAGATGGCAAGCGGCCCAGGCCAGGGCTTCCCAGACACTGCTGGCCTTTGTCTCCGTGCAGTCGGAGTTCAGTTACATCCCCCGGGAAACGCAGCTCTGGAGAGCGCCGAGTGCATATAATCCTGGCTGCGGGCAGCGCCGGGCTGACCAGAGCATGTCTGACGTTAGCTTCTTGCTAGAAAGCGTCTTATCGTTAGCCTGAGACCGACTTCGGCCAAGACACGGTGCCCTGGACGGAAGCCCAAGAAGCCACCAGGGTTTTTGCCTCTGGCTCATTCCCATTTGGAAAGTTTTGAAAGGCCGTAGCTATCTGGCTGCTTCGTGCCTTTCC